CGCCCCTAACCCGGACTCCGCGCCCGGCTCGCTGCCCGGGGAGGAAGCGGCGCTGAGCCCCTCGCTGGGGCCAGCAGCCTCTCTCTCTCTCGTCCCACAGGCCACGGGGGCCTTTAACTGCCGAAACTGCAGCTTTCCATCTCCTCCTTCTGTGCCACCCCCCGGCTCGCTGCCCGGGGAGGAAGCGGCGCTGAGCCCCTCGCTGGGGCCAGCAGCCTCTCTCTCTCTCGTCCCACAGGCCACGGGGGCCTTTAACTGCCGAAACTGCAGCTTTCCATCTCCTCCTTCTGTGCCACCCCTTCCGCCCGGTCGGGGTTGATGCGGGCTAGGTCGGGCGCAGCGATGCGATGCGATGCCCTCACGGGGATGTCCCGAGCAGAATGGTTCCCCCCCCCCCCCCCCCGCTCCAGGTGCCAGGGGGGGTTAAGCCCCGCGAGGCGCTGGTGCTGGTGCAGCCCGGGCGGGGGCAGGGGCTGGGCTGCGCCAGTGCTCCTGGCACCACCCTGCAGGGTGCCGGCCGGAGGGTCTCGCCCCTCTGCTCAGGCCCGGGCCCAGCCCCGCGCTGCACTGGGCAGGGAGGGGTTTCCCCCCTGCTCTCTGGTCGTGCTGGGGGGTTTTGCCGCGGGGCACGGCCTCGGCCTGGCGTCCCTGCAGCGCGTGCTGACAACACTTCACAGAAGCAGGACATCGACGGCCTGGTCCCCTGCTTTCCCAGGGCGATGTCTGCGCTGTGTCGGGGTTGACGGTCGTACGCAGAGTTCAGACGATGGTTTGTCTGGGCTGGTTCGGACGGGGCCGATCCCGCCTCGGGCCGGGTGGACTAGACGTGCCTCCGGAGCTCCCCCCAGCCCCGCGGCTCGCAGAGGCTATGAATAACGCAGCCCTTGGCTACCAGCTTGTCAGTACAGCCACTTTCTTTGTAACTTGACGGGAGCAATCGTGACGATGCACCGTGTCCTCTGCAAAGTCCTAGGGCTGCCCGTGACCCAGCGTCTCCGTCCCCTCCGGCCCTGTCCCACCTGCCAGCCCAGCACGCCTCGGGGGAGACGCTGGCCCTGGCCCTGGCCCTGGCCCTGGCCCTGGCCCAGCGTGCGGGGAGGCCTGCGTTGGGAGCAAGCCGGCACGTTCCTGAGAGCAGCGATGGTGACCAGCTTCCTCCCAGCCCTGTTTACAGCTCACCGCTGCGCTCGGTCCTGCCGCGTGCTGTCCACCCTGTGGACCGCGCCGGCCCCTCTCTGGCTTGGCTGATGGCCCTGCTTCCAGCCAGGGCGATAAGGGCTCGGGGCAGCCCTGCACTCGGGCTGGGGGAGCTGCGTCTGAGCGTGCGTGTCCTGGCTGCAGGCCGCGCGGGGCGGAAGCAGGCTTGGTGCCAGGGCTCCCGGTCCCAAAGGATTGTCTCGCCTCGGTCGCAGCCAGAGCGGGGCCGGACGGGCGTGCGCTGCCTGCAGGCAGCTTCCTGAGAGAGAACCCCGCTCTCCCAGCTCTGCTCCAGCAGGCTCCGTCCTGCAGGGAAAACGGGCTTGCAGCAGCCAGACAAACAAACCCATCCCAGATAAGCACGGAGGGGACTTTCCACCACGCCTGGTGGGGGCAGGGACCGGTGCTGGATGGAGTGGCTGAGACTGCAGGGGCCTCAATGCTGACAGCTCCTTATCAAGGAAAACAGCCCTGGGCCATGGTCTCTGCAGCCCCAGACAGGCCGGCAGCCTCTTCCCCAGCTTCCTCTCTCCCTTCCTGTTGATGGGACCCAGCCCCAGAAATGCCCAGGGACTGCAGGCGCCAGGGCATTGTGCTGCCTGCCTCGATGTCCCTGCTCCAGGGACTGCTTCGGGGCCAGTGTCTTCCGGGTGGGTTTGACAGCCCAGGGCAGCTGCCTGGGCAGCCCAGAGGGGCTGTGGGGCAAACCCAGACGGCCAAGCCTCCTGGAGACTTTGGGCCTGGGGTGCAGCTGAGATGAGCTGAGCAGGGCCCGGCCTGGGCTGTTCAGAGCCGCTGTCTCCAGCTGCTTCTGGGGCTGGAGCAGAGGGCAGGCAGGGCCTGGTAGTCAGCTCTGGGCACCTGCCTGGCAGTTGTCCTGGCCAGAGGCAGAACAGAGGCATTCATTGCTCCCCCGGGATGAGGTCCGCGGGGCAGCCGTCTGCAGGCGAGCTAGCGGTTTTAGCCTGGCCGGGCCCTGGCATGTGGGGAGCAGAGCGGAGAGGCCGTGGGACAGTCATGCCCGGTGGGGCCGGGCCAGGAGTGCGGTGCTGCACCGTACGGCTTTGCTGACCTCCATGGCCGGCGGCAGTGCCAGCAGACCGAGTCCTGTGGCAGGCAGCTGGCCTGTGGACGTCCGCCCTGCTGCCCTATGGCCCCGCAGTCGGGGGAAGGGTCCAGCCCCGATGCCTCCGGCTGCCTGTGGCTGGCGGCGGGGCCCCCGGGCCCCTGGCCCC